TCTTCACATCAATTTCCAAACGTTGGGGAAAATCTGAGGCATTACCAGCGTACTCCCTCTGCGGTGATATTTACCTCCAAACATGGACGAGGCAGATGACAGCCAAGTACGCACACGGGTACCTTCACCCTCTCTTCTGCGGCCTCGGCGGGGGCGCAGGCCTGCCCCACACCGGGGTGCTAAGCTGCCCGCTCCTCCGAACTGGAGAGTTAACACCATCCTTAATTAAGTTCTTTCATGATGGCTGCCAGGTGTGCCCTTCCGCGGGACAGTGTTAATTCCAACGTCCGGGGACTGAGACCCAGCCCCCTTTCCCGGCAAGTCTGCCTTTGCGCTCAGCCCCTACCTGGAAACCCCTTCCGCGCCCCACGGCCCCCCTTCGCATGGACGGGGGAGTTGCTTGTTACGCTGCCGGGAAGTTCACGTCCAGCGCCCACCCGGGCGAGCCCCGCAGGTATATAAGGACAAAGCAGAGCGACCCGGACCAGGCGGCGGCGAAGGAGGAGAAATAGAAGAAAAGTGACCGAGAGAGGCCGCCGAGCATCCTCTTCCAGGCGCAGCGGGAGTCGCCCAGACAGCAACCTCCCGGCGACAGGGTAAGGGCGCAGGGGCGCGGAGCCTCGCTCCTACTCCGGGAACCCCTGCTGCGGGGCCTCGGCAGCCTCTCGCCCAGCTCAGGTTGCTGACTTGAGGGGCCTTAGGCTCGCCGCTCTTCTGAGTTCTTTGAAAACTTTCTTGGGCGAACGACTGAGAGACTCAAAGTGGTGCTTGCGGGAGCTGGCGGCCGCATCTCCCCCGGGGAGTGGGACTTCTAGGGCCCCTGAGACCCCTACTGTCTTCTGGGGAGATCTCGGGGGATCCCAGTCTTTTGGCTCATCTTTCCTCCCGGTTTTCTGGGTAGGTGTCACGTCTTCAAAAGATACTATGTACTCTAGCGCAAATTAACGTTGGAAATGGCGACAGTAGAGAGTCTACAAGTTACAACAAACCCCCTGCCTTCCAGAGTTGTTTTGGATTAAGACCCCTAAATCCTCGTTTCCCTGCCCAATTTAGCGGGTCCAACGTGGCAGTGCTGTGATAATAGCACGGGACTCCTCCACAAGACCCAGCTAGGGTTAAAAAGAGGTGGCCCCGGAGGGAACTGTCCAAGGTTCTGAAGCACCCTGCCTGTGCCCTCAGCAGGACGGCCGAGGGAACTTCACTCCTGCAGACCCTAGACTGTGGGGCCATTTGAACTGATGGAGGCTCAGGCACGTCTAGTGAAGGGGGGAGAGTCTGCAGGGCATTTAGATCCCTCAGATTCTTCGTGTGTAAATGAGAAGGTGGTGGTTCTCACAGAATGGCTGGAAGGAGCCGAGGAAAGTACAAGTATGTATTTGTCACTTGTCAAGATATGCACAGATATGGTTTCTTTAATGACTTGGTATTCCTTTGATACTTTTGTTTTAGGACTTGCTGCATGTATATCACGGTGCGAGGACAAAACTCTGCACCTCTGTTCCTCAAATCTTTACAGAAGGGCATGGTCAGCATGCAGTTGCAGAACAACAAGATGTTTTGTTTAGCTCATAGAGAATCCACCTATACACATGAAGTTCTAATAAGTGTAATTCTATTATAAAGTTAATGTCAAGATTAATGACAAATTTCCATTAATTTTTCCAAGGCTTTCAATGACTAGATTATAGCACTCTCCCTGCTTGCAAGAACATTTGACATCTCCCTATTACTTAATTGCTTAAAAAAAAGAGACACAAGGCAATATTTGTTTATTGGAGAAAAATAGAAAATACACATAAGCAAAAAGAAAACAAATTGCTGTCAGGAAACCAGCTGTTTTTAGCTAGCAGTAGAATGGAGCTCTGAGAGGGTGGGAAGTGAAATTGTTACCATGTTATACAATACCACCAGTGGGGCAGAAGGAGAGGAAATGCTCTCTGGGGTTTTTTAGGAAGGCCTGAAATCATGAGTAGGTTTTCAGAAAATGGAAATCATACCAGAATGGGCAACTTTGAAGATAACTGAAATATAATGGGACTGCCCAATCTGTATGATTTTACTTCTTTCTCTACTAATATGTATTTACACACAGTGTAAAACTCACAGTGATCTATAACTACGATTTTTCTACTTCACATGTAAAGCTGGGCATTTTTCTGATCCAAAAGTGCTATGTGGTCTCAAAGTTTTAGTCTAAATTGCCTTGCCCACCAGTTTGGGCTTTGTTATTGAACTGAAACTCAAAAGGCTAGAACAGGAGCAGCCTGTCCCAAGTCCGGGCTGGACTCCAAGGCTGACCAGTGCTCTCCCTGTAGCCCCTTCAGCCTGAGATGCTGACAGGTTGCTCAGAGGCTGCTAGCGCCATCTAATGGCTGCGCTGAAAACACTGGGTTTGTGCCTGACAACCATTCAGAAGGGAGCCCCCCAGCTGGCTCTGTTTTGGGGAAAAGGAGTCAGGCTGGGGCAGAGAGAAGGAAGTGGCTTCCTGAAGAAGACAATGAGAGCCAGAGGGAACTTTCACTTCCAAAGCCTTCCCTATAAAAAAATTTGGCTTACACCTCCACAAATGAGAGATTTATTTTAGGCAAATTTATTTTAAAATGCTGATGTCCATTAGGAGAGTCAAGACAATTAATCATCCATACCTTAATGTGAATTACTTTTCTCACTGAATTAGGTTTCTTCCTAACAGATGGTTGAAAAGATCTTCTTAAATCTAAAATTATTGTGGGGTTGGTGGTGAGCTGATGACAAATCCTGGGGTCACTTTAGGGGAGTGGCCTGGGTGAAAGGGGACATGGCAGTGGGAGAGCTAGAGGGCTGAGGAAAGAGGATTGGGCATAGGGCACAAAAGACAGCATTGTTGCTCCCCTCTTTATTGCATCCTGACCTCTTGACCTCAGCATCTGCCCAGAGGTACTTCCTGACTCTGCCAGAAGTATCTTTGGTGGCCTCCTGCTCTGTGTGTCCATCTGCTTCCCTTCTATATCTTGAAGAGCATTCAAGTCCAGGTATTTCAGATTAACTTTGACTCAGAGAACAAGAGGAAGTCTACCATGTAATGTGTTCAGATGATGAGCCAGTTCTAAAAGAATGGGGGTCTGCTTTAAAAATAAATATCTCCAAAGTTGCAGGGGTCTCGGAAATACTGATCACCTGAGTAATTTGTGTACAGGACATCTAATTGGGTTGCCTGAGGTTTTGGTTGAATTGGCCAGAGGTTTTATTTGCTTTTATGCAAACCTACCATTCATAGGAAATAGAGTGTCTAAAGAATGATAGGATCCTGGTGGAGGAGGAGGGGAATAGACCCTCTTCAGCAGGAATTTCAGAGTCCTTTGTTTTTCCCAAGTTACTCCTCGGAGCTGGAGTGTTAGAACAATAACTGCATGAAGGTCTTGAAATAGAAAAGTTCTGTTCTGGAAACAGGAGAATGTAGCCATACCTTGTCACAAATACCCAAGTCATTTTCTCTTTCTGTGCCTCCATTTCCCCAACTCTCATACAGAGAATTGGACCAAATTGAGGTAGAGCGGGGACATGGGAACAACATCACAATTAACTTTTCCTGCCTATGATGAAAAATGCTGAGATATAAACAGTATAGTAAGAACAGGAGGGACTCCATCTTAAGGGTAAGATTCCATTTTAAAAACCAGGGAGTTAGGAGATAAGATTCCTAACATATTTTATGGTAAAAATTATCCAACAACCAACCCTATCTTAAGGCAGGGCAAGCAGTCCTAAATGGTATGTTTTCACTGCTTGAAGGTAACCACTATCTTGGAGAAGAACAGGATCAATAAATTCCTTGTGTTAAGTTTATTTTACAGAATATTTAGAGGACTGAGTGTGGATGGTGACATAATGTCTCTCACCAGAGAGACGTCATGAGACCACATATTGAGCCTACACCCCTCTCTGGCCCTTTGCCCCATTCTTGAAATCCTTTAAAAACACAAATACTAAGCTTTAAGTGTGCCTCTCTCTGAGGCTGCCCATATTCCCTTCTTCAAGTGTGTTCTTTGCCTTAAATAAAGACTTCTTGCTACTCAACTTAGTGCATTTTGTCTCTGTGCTCTTCCAAGCCTCTTGGGAGATTAATAAGAAACCTCTCTTCCCAGTGGTAAGTGTTTTTATTATTTCACTATTTCATTCAATTTTCTAGACTTAAGCACAAGTCTTTACTCTCTCTGTCATATTTCAGGCAAGTAGGGAAGGGCTGGTAAGATCTTTGATTTGGCCTTGCAAGTTCCCGTCATCTGGGTAGCTGTACTACCAGGCTTTTCAGTAGCCTGCCTGAATATCTCCTTTCTTTGCTTTGGGAGGTTCTCAGAACATAATTTCACTCCATCCAGTTTTGTGCAGCTCCCTAAAATCCTGGGGTGGTAGGGCCTTAGTTCCCTCGCTGTGCAGATTCAAGCAGACTCTGGACACCAGGTGGTCCTGGCTTCAGGTTGGCAAGGGTTTTGCCTTATGCCTAACAGGAGTTCAATGAACTTTCCTTTCTTCTCTGTTTTTCCTTGCTCTCTATGGCCTGCATGGCTGCTGTCATTCACTACAATTCTTGCTTTAATGAATTCCTTCCTTACCTACACTCATATGACCTGTTCATGGATTCCTTCTTAATCAGAGTCAAGAACCCTCTCCTGTATTGAGGTCTCAGCAAGCATGCAGGGAGGTCTCCCTGGATTGGATTGCCTGCCAACAAAATGATCCTTAAAATAGCTTGCAGCCCTGCTTCCTTTCAGATATGATTTTTAACAGGAGATAGAGAAAATACATATAGTTTACTCATGTCCCACTACTCTCCTCTCTAACACAATTCACACCAACTTTCTTGAACTGCTCCTGTCCTCAAAAAGCCTTGAGCTCCACGAGTGAGTGTGTTGTTAATGTTGGCTCACAATCCTTCCTGGTGAGTGGCCAACATTGTTCTGCTTCTTGCAGGGGGTCCACCAATCTTGTTTGCCTCTGCAGAGCCTCTGCCTGCCTGGAAAATGCCGAGATTGTGCTGCAGCCGCTCAGGGGCCCTGCTGCTGGCTTTGCTGCTTCAGGCTTCCATGGAAGTGCATGGCTGGTGCCTGGAGAGCAGCCAGTGTCAAGACCTCACCACGGAAAGTAATCTGCTGGTATGTGGGTTGTGGTCTCCATGATGGTTTGGGCAACAGATGGGGTGGGGCTGAGGCTGGGGCTGGGCTGGCTTAGCGCAAAAGAAAGGGGCATGGAGAAGGGGAAATTCTTTCCCAGTGGGAGGGGAGCTCAACTCAGGGCAGGAGGACACCTCTAGGGTAAAGATGGAATTGGGCCAAGGAAGGGAGGAAGCAACTCAGGGAGGTGGGTCTGGTCCACAATTTCTGCTTGATTAACTTTACTTCTTGCACTGTCTTCTTGTATGGAAATCTCATCCATTTGAGCTATTTAGAGATAGTGCCATTAAAATAATAGTAATAATAATTCTTTCCTCAATTGATCTATATTTTCAATCATGGAATTCCCAAATTACTTCTTTTTAAATAACCTCATAGCACTTACCATCTTCACTCCATTTTTCTCCCATTTCTACCTACCACCAGTTACAAAGTTAGCTAGGTAGTTCCACAAATCACCTCTAGAGAGAGAAGGAAAAATCCAGGCACCATTTACCTCTAACTGGCACCCAATTCTCCCAGAGAACTGACCTTCTGCAGCCTTTCTGGAAGGTCATTTGTGCCAGGCTGGAGCTGACTGCAGGTCATCACAGGGTGTGAGTGTATGTTTATTTTGTGAGGCATAAATGAGAAATGATACTAATTCCAAGGACTAAAAGACACAGTGCTGGTGTCAATAATAGACGATTGCTTCCCATTGCCTACACCTGCCAGGTGAGGGTGGAATGCACATCACTACATTCTGTCCATGAGTTAGAGTGAAGGGAGAGACTTTCTCAAAAACACAGGGCAAGATTCATGTGGAATATAAAATAGAAACCAACAGCCCAGGGAATTCTGTGAGTTCTAGCTTAGAGAGACCCAAGAGAAGAGATTCTTGACTGGGCACAGCCACCACGCAGCATCTCCCCTAAGAGCTCACTGGAGAAGGAGCCCTGGCCACCATCAGAGCCCATGGGTTCTAGTCGTGGTTCTGTCACCAGTGAGCTGTGGCACCTTGCCAAGTTCCTTTACTGTCTCTGAGCCTCCTGTTTCATTATGTGTCCAGGGGAGGGGTGATTAAATGAGATGGTTTTTATTTTCCATGGTTAATATTCTGCAGTGTTATAATTCTAAATCCTTTAAGTGTGAATCTCCCAACTCAACAGAGTGGGTGGGATCCTTCTGTTTCTTCCTGTGCAGTCCCAATTAACCGAAAATTCAAAGCTGTACCCTGTATGTCATTTTCCTAAGCAAACGGCTATCACAGTAAAGTTGTCTAGTTACAGAGAGCAGAGATGCAGGCTCCATGACCCATGGAGTGGAAATAACTCTGGCTTCTACCTCTCCCTCCAGTCAAAATGAACTAACAGGGAAATGAGACACCCCCTTCCAAAGCCCACTGATTGGGGAATGTACACATCAGCTCCGAGGACTTGAAAGAACCCGAGAAGTGCCAGATGGGTGTGGGAAAGTTTTGAGGCACGTACAGGGAGATGGCTGGTGTAGGGCATGAAGCAGGTTTGCAGATCACCGTGGTAGGTTGAGGCATTACTGAAAATGCATACCTTGGAACTCAGAATCCTACTTCTCCCACCTGGAGATATTCTTCCCCTAACTTCAGCCCAATAACCCTCCCAAACTCTAACTGAACCATATTTACTTATTTAATATTCATTAAGCGCCAACAACTACCACCCATATGCCATTTACTGATGAGTTCCTATATATCAGGTATATAAAACCGTTAAGAGGTTGACCCCGCTAGCAAAAGCTGGGGGAAAAGTAAACCACTCAGTGGGGCGGGGTCTTTTTTTTTCCTGTAGCTGCTGGAAAGGAGTACCAAGGGGCACCGGGGACAAAAGAGGCGATGCCCAAGCGGAGTCCCGGGTGCCACGTGTCATGGGTGCTGGGGAAGGCAGAAGTCCCTGGCCTTTTCGGCGCGCACGTGGCGCGGACCCCTTGGAGCGGTGGGGTGGGACCGGGGTCCTGCAGGGAAGGCGCGGCCCTCACGCGCTCGCCGCTCTGCCCTAGGCGTGCATCCGAGTGTGCAAGCCCGACCTTTCGGCCGAGACGCCCGTGCTCCCCGGCAACGGCGACGAGCAGCCGCTGACCGAGAGCCCCCGCAAGTACGTCATGGGCCACTTCCGCTGGGACCGCTTCGGCCGCCGGAACGGCAGCAGCGGCGGCGGCGCGGGCCCGGAGCGCGAGGAGGCGGCGCCCGCGGGCCCAGGGCCCCGAGGCGAAGGCGCCGCGCCCGCGCCGCGCGAGGGCAAGCGCTCCTACTCCATGGAGCACTTCCGCTGGGGCAAGCCGGTGGGCAAGAAGCGGCGCCCGGTGAAGGTGTACCCCAACGGCGCCGAGGACGAGTCGGCCGAGGCCTTCCCGCTCGAGGGCAAGAGGCAGCTGGCCCGGGGGCAGCCCGACGACCTGGAGGACCGCCTGGCGGCGGCGAGGGCCGCGGGGCCCTATAAGATGCAGCACTTCCGCTGGGGCAGCCCGCCCAAGGACAAGCGCTACGGCGGCTTCATGTCCTCCGAGAAGGGCCAGACGCCGCTGGTGACGCTGTTCAAGAACGCCATCATCAAGAACGCCCACAAGAAGGGCCAGTGAGGGCGCGCGGGCCGCGGGGCGGGGGGGCCGTGCGGGGGGGCCGCCCCCCCCCCCCCCCCCCCCCCCGAGGCTCACCCGGAAGCCCCTCTCCTCTCTCCTCGCCGCCCGCCCGCCGCCTCCCAGCCGGGGTGAGCTGCTCGCCCAGGCCGGTACGGCAGCAGCCATCCAGTCTCTAAAAGCTGTCTGTAGTTAGTAAATAAAACCTTTCAAGTTTCACATCTCACTCTGACTTTGAATGTCGACTGGGTGAATAAAATAAACAGACATATCCCTCAAATAAAGGGCGGCATGTGTTGGAGAAGGGACACAGTGGTTTCCACGTGACCAAATGTGGTTGTAATTTCATTGGACATAGTGGGAATGGAATGAAAATGTACTTCCCTCCCCCCAGCAAATGGGTCTTCAAGGGACCAAATAATTTGGGTGATGGCGCAGGTGGGCTACATTTCCCACTCTCCACTCCACTGAGTGGGGAAAGACTGCTCAGCTAGCAGATGAATCAAAAGGCAGGATTCCTAGAAGAGTGACCACAGAGGATCCCCCCCAAACCCCTGGATTTAACTCCAAAGCCAGCCTGACGTTGGGTGAAGCCAGGACTACCTGGGCGGTGAGGTGGGAAGCTGTGGTACTGCCTCCCTGGATCAGTGGGACCTTACGCAAGCCTCCAAACCTCCAGGATTTGGGTCTTTTATCCACCCCTCCCTTCCTAGTGTGAGGGCCATTGTGAGAATTCATGAGAAAATGGATGTGATCTCTTTATCATTGAGAAGCTGAGGGTTGATATCAATTCAGATTTGACTGCATTCCCAGGCTACTGACAAATATCCTCAAACACATGGGCTCACCCACACAGACGCACACCCATGGAGACACAGCTGTATAAATACAGCATGACATACAAGATGCTTCTTCCGGCCCCTCAGGCCCGAGCCTCGCGCCTCAGTCTCTCCCCCTAGCTGAGCCCTGGCTCTCTCCACTGCGTGCCGCCCACCTCAACCCTCAACAGCTTCCTACCCAGCTGGTGTCCCTGTCACCACCTGCTCTCCTCTCCAACTCTTTGTCCGTGAATTCTTCATATTAATGTATACAAAATCCTGCTTGCTTTCCCCACATACCCTGGCTCAAGAGCCAAAAAAGTCCCCCCAGCCCAATTTACCATCAATTCCAACCCACCAGGCACAGCACTGCAGGTCCTTGTCCAGCAGGCTCGCTCTCCTCACTAAACCCAGTCTCCCACGTTTCCACCAACTGGTCTTCTCGCTCTTCTCCCGTCCTCTTTCACCCTCTGCTGGAACCTCCACCATTTTGAATGTCACCCTTTCTTCAGCATGAGCCGGGCCCTGACTCCACTTTGCTGGGAAAGCTGTGATCTTTCCCAGCTAAGGCTGCTCCTTTCCAGTGTCTGCTGTCAGCCCCCTGCACTGGAGGGCATGCAGTCAGGCTACCATGGCAAGTCCCTTGCTGCATGTATGTCTTGTGCTCTCCTCTCAGGGCAGCTCTAGACACATGGACAGAGGGCAGGGGTTGTGTTTCTTTTCTATGTCCCCACGGTGTTTTCACACATGGGGCCATGGGTTTGCAGCCACATACATTGACAGTTCACGAGAGGTAGATATTATTTACGTGGAGAGATGCACACATACACGCCAACCGGTGGACCATATAGATCAAGGCTGGTCTGGAAACATTTGTTACGGCACTTAACACATAACATCCCTGTATTTTGACGCTCTAGGCATTCACAGAGAAAACTGGAACACACCCTGGGAAATCCTGATGTAAAGGGAATCAACAAACTAGATTCTTAAGATGAAGTCTCCTCCAGTGTGGGTTAAATGAACGGGACTAGATTCTACTCACTGTGATGAAAATATGACCCACTGGAGGATGCTCCCAGGCTGGGAATCCTGGGATTCATGTTTACACCCTGGTAGCACTTTTTCCCCCACCCCCTTTCCTTTTGAGGCAAGTAAAATAATGGTAGATAGGGGTGGCTAAATGTCAGTAGTTAGTGTAAGTATTTTCAGATCGTGTTTGCATTTCAAAAATCCATTTACTTTAAAGAAATCAAATAGACAACCATGTGGTGACAACATTAACATTTATTTGAAAAGGGCATCATGAAGACTCATTGGGAAATCACGACTAATAGTAGGAAAGAATGATCTTGCTAAGAGTCCTTCCTAACACTCCCCCACCCACCCTCCTTTCCCTTTCCTTAAAAAAAAAAAACTAATTTGATTCAATGAGTTTAAAATACAGAAAACTGTCATAGGCACTAATTCTGCACATCCATATAAATACATCAGCTGTTATATATATATTCTGTCAACTATGAAGTACATTACGCACACATGCATGCACACGGTCACACACACTCTCAGTCAGGTCTTGAGGGTCTAAATGGACACAGGCACGTTACAATGTATGTGTAGTACATTTGTGGATTTACAGCTCTGCACTCCATGGGCCAGAATCAACAGTCACAGGGAAGAACTCAAAAGGGGGTGGTGATGGGCTGAGGGCCCAAGCTCCCCTGGAGGAGAAAAGACCTGCTCAACCTGGCTGCTGCTAAAGGACAGCACAGAAAACTGCTTTCTGGCCCTAACAGCCACAGGGCCCCTCCCAAAGCCCCTGTGTCTCCTCCCCTCTTCCCCAGCTGGCCAGGTCCATAGTGACCACCCTTCTGCAACCTTCAGACCTAGTTCAGATTTGGGATAACCTGAAGATTTCTAGGGTTAATGGAGGAAAGAAGCAACACACTGCCCTAAACCTCACCAGACATAAGGAAAATGCCTTATTTCAGCATGTCCTACCTGCCAGGGCCTATGGGTAGGGGAGGTGGGCACGATATGCCCCAATGAGCTGACCTTCCTGTCCACTTCCACACTTGCCACGCAGCCTTACACTGAGGTCTAGCTCTTTCCCACAGGCACCACAGGCCAGATGCCATCTTCTGGCCATGAAGACGAATTGGGAGAAATGGCCTCATTTGCAGAGAGAAAAGCCTCTGTACCCAGGTCAAAAGGCCTGGGGACAACATAATAGCAGCTGGAAGGTGTTGGGACCCAGGGGCCCTCAGAGAAGCCCAGGGTTCTGTACTTTGAGCCAAAGTACCCCAAAGCTGTTCTGATTCTTGGGCCAGCTGAAACATGTCCTCTGGGACCCAGAACACGCAGGCAAAGGGCAGCATGTATATGATTCTTGTGCTTCCTCAAGCACTTTAGCCATTCCCAGCCCTACCATTTCACTGCTCATCCATTTACTCTTGTGTATGGGGCTGCACTGAGAGAGTACTGAGGACTTTTCTAGTTCTTCTGCCCGGCTTGGCTTCTTCACTTGTGAGGAGGCAGTTAGGAGTCAGGAAACCACTCATTTCTACTTTTCAGAGAGGAAAATGGAAACAGACACAGGACACTGGCAACCCCAATACAAGGAAAAGAGAAGGAGCCTCTAGTATCATATCAGTCTTTCTGCTGACCTGCCTCTTATGCATTTACATGACGCAACCAAATTAACAGAGCTTCCTAATCCCATGTACATTCATGCCTATGAAGTTCTGTCAGTAGAGGGCTAACCCACCCTACCCTTGCCCACAAAGCAGGAGTCCTTAGTAGCTTTGGGGAGCAGCTAGTCTAGATGGGCTTGCTGGCTCAGAGAAGGGCTGTTCCCCAAAGAGTTGGTCACATGACAGCGCTGCCAGGCACAGGGTGACCAGAAGACAGGAAGCAGTAATCCTGGGCCAAAAGCTGGGCACCCACCAAATTCTGCTTTGCCTCTCCCCCGGGGCTTGCAGGAGAGTAAAGGAGACTGCTTAATTTGCCATTTAATTGTCTGTTCCAGTTAAAACTCATCTTAAACTTTTTGATTCTAAGAACATTTGACCAGAATCCAGGTTCAGCTGAATGCCAGTAGGCAACCTAATATTCTACTGAGTGTAAGTTTAAATTGAAAGTGAGAAGAGGGCACGCAGAAATGGCCAGTTCTCCAAAAGGAGCCTATCTTTGCTAAGCAGTGATGTAAAGAAAAAGTGATTTGGACACATACACAGGAAATGGCAGTTGAGTGTATAAAGAATGGTAATCCTGCATTTTTTTTCTATTTCCAGGGTAGGGATGAGGGAGTGATATCTGACTGCACCTGCAGGTCTCTAGTTTTAGTCCCGGCTCTCCAGAGGGTCTTGAGGCATGACTCCCAAGAACCGGGGCTCCAAGGGCAGTGCTCAGGGTACAATGGCCATGGGGATGGACTCTAAAGTCAAAGAGGCACAAGAAGGAAACAGGGTTTCTTATCAAAGCCAAGCAGGGGATAAAGATGGAAAAATCCAGTGAGTAAAGACATGTTTGTGGCTAAAGATTTAGATTTTTTTGTGAACTTTCTTTCGAAGGCTATTTGTCTTCAAGTTTGTTTCAAGCTATTTAAACTTGGTTTCTTAATAAGGTGACATTAAGTTAAAGAGAAATCTCATTTTGTGCTTGTAAATTTGCATTAAGCCTTAGCCAAAAGCCACAGAGCAGAGCCAAGAGCTATGGAAGAGCAGAAGCCAGGTTCCCTGGGCCCTGTAATCACTCAGGCCACCCAGAAGCCATGGGCCCTCAGCACAGAAGGCAGTGACCAAAGGCAGGAACTGCAGGGATGAGGGTCAGATTGCTGCCCTCAACCCAAGATATTTATTGCATATGTAATGGAAAAATGCATATGTTAAGGTTCTCCCAGTTTGGGAAATATACCTATTTGTCCTAATAATCAGGCTCTCATAGTGCATCTGTGCAGGGCCATCTTGCAGGGGTGTGACCCAAGGATGTCCCAAGAACCTGTCTTTAGCAGAAACAGTCCACTTCTGACCCCACCCTATACTAAAAAGGGGTACCCTATAAAGGGATTCCTTTGGGTCAAGAAATCTACTCATCCTCCCTCTTTTTAAAAAGCCAATTTTCTAGGGAGGAATCATCTGACCATTCACACCTTACAGTGAGTTACATAAGTTCAGAAACGTTTGGGGAAGTTTGACTGGAAGAAGGGAAAAGGGCTACTTTGGACCTCAGGGCACTGCCACAGGCAAGGTGTAGAGGCTTTGGAGGCAGGAAGATCCCTGGAGCAGGGATGAGATGGGGAAGTGGGGATAAGAGCTGCAAAAGGCCCTCTGGCTCTGCCAGTAGCTCCACCTCTACACAGACAGAACAATGGCACCCAGAGAAAATGGAAGCCCAGAACCCAAAAGGGTCTCTGCCACCTCTCCCCAGACCCCCAGCATTGCCGGTTAGCATTGATATTTAGGCCTTGTCCAAAGTGTGAAGAAATCATTCCAGTATTAGGTGCTGGACCATTCTTTCTTCTAATGAAATATCCAAAAGGTTGACTTCTGACATCCTTGAGCTGCAAAGTTCTACTCCCCTCACCTCCCCTTCCTTCCAGCCTCCCTCATCCAACCTGCCTCTTCCACAGGGGGTGACGTGGGCAGGCCTGCAGGGCCCTGCATTTCCTCCTCCTTTTGATTCTCCTAGAACCTGATTATCTCATTCTGCTCTCCCTCAACCCAGAGACTGTAGAACCAAGTTGGGATACTCAGGAAGACAGAACTCAACTTAGAGAAACATCCAGAAGGGAGAGAACCATGAGAGGGCCCATCAAACTCCCTTTGAACACAGGAGGTGAGAAGATGCTACAGAGGGACATGGACTTGCCATGTCCGCCCGTGTGGACGCTCCCTGGCCCAGCTGCCCAGCCTGCCCTTCATTTCATCCTTTGCTGCCCCCACATGGTGTCTCCATCCCAGCTCCTGCTTAAGGGCCCCACATTAATTAACAGACAGAATTGCAAAGCAACAACTGGCGGGTGAGCAGGAAAGTGGAAGACACAGAAGAGTGCTGGGGCGCTTGGGCTCCCCGACTAAGGCAGGAGGAGGGTCGTGCTGAGGGGGAGTATCCACCCTGTCTTCCAGCCTGCAGCCCACGGCCATACCAGGAGAGCTTGCCTGGCCTCTTCCTGACTGCAGTCCACAGCGTCCTGTGACCAGCTGGTCTCTGTCTAGTTCCCTCCTTGGGGATGATAGCTCTGCCCCCCAGCCCAACCCCATGAGAGCCCTTCACCCGCTACACCAAGCAGGGGCTTCTAGGGACCTCAGCCTCTCTCTGGAAGGTCCCCACCCCATTCTCACCCCTGGCTGACACAAAGGAGACAAAGGGCCCAGGTGAGATGCTTGTTGGCTGTGGAGGGACAGGTGGCTGGGTCTCCCTCAGGGAGGACAAGGAGGTGGCAGAAGGGCAGAGAGGGGGCCCGAGCTCCACCTTGCTTAGTTGGGGCCATGCTGCCATCCAAGGTGCTTTTTCTCTGAGATCCCAGTTAGATTTCCATGTCACAGGGGTGGGCTTGAGGGCGAGCCCCTCCCTCAGACCCCGCCCCTCTGAGGAGCGCCTTCTCTCAGAACTCAGTATACGCACAGATCAGGAAACTTCATCTCGTAGACGGGGATGGAGTGGTTTTGAGGCTGGCCATAGGCTGCAGTGATGGTTCCTGATGGGCTGGGTGGGGGCCTGGGGCAGGAACACGGAGAGGAGAAAGGTATGAGGAGTGAGTGCAGGGATCCCACCCCGCACAATCAGAAGGAGCAGCTGGTTTGGGTTTCTCTTTGAACAGGGACCACAGACCGTCACTCAGAGGTTCCCAGGTTGCAAGCTGTTCTAGGGTCTACAGCTTGAGGTCAAGCTTCCCTGCAGCCTCTGCAGTGGTTCTGTTGCTTTAGTAAGTAAAGTGCCAGCCTGGGACCCCAGGACTCCTGGCTTTTTTCCAGGGTTCGCCAGCTCTTTGTTTTTCTTTCTAGTCTCTGCTTCCTGGCCTGGGGAGAGCTGGTGGCTGACTCCCACCCTGGACACAGAGGCTGGGGGCAAGGGTGGGTGGTGGTGGGAAGGACTGAAGACAGGTGAGATGAGGACTCGGGAGGGGGGTCCCAACGCTGGGCCACAGAGGTAGGTGTCTGCTGCCCAGGGCTGACGCTTACCGGATGGTGATCTCAAAGATCTGATTGAGTTTGCTCTGCAGCAGTGAGGCCTAGGTAGAGAGAGAGGGAAGTGAGCCGGGGCTGCCCCACACCTGCTGCTGACCCGTGGGCCCACCTGTCCAGAGCGCACTGGAGGAGCAGGCAGTTGCAGCCTTAGGAAGGGAACTGGTGTGAGCTCAGTTAGCTCTTATCTGTGGACCCTGCCATTCAGTGAAGGTCTGCAGGGGACAGCAGAGAGGCCAGGAACACCAGGAGGACTTCCACAGGCCCTCAGCTCCTCCAAGTGGGGCAGTGGTGCAACCGGGTATGAAGTTGGGAAGCTCAGAGCTGGTTCCAGGTCTTTCCTTAACTCCCAAGAGGCAGCTATGCAAAATTAGTGGCTTAGGGAAGATGTCTTCTCCAGTCGCCCTGGCTCAAGCATAGCCCATGTACACAGAGAATGAGACTGTGCATGTGTTCAGTAACTGAGCCTCAACTCTGAGCTCATGAAATGAGCATCATTCACCTCTTGAGATGGGACAAGAGGTTAGGATAACATAGGTCTAGAAAAATCTATATTGTACTGCATGTATCTATATGCATTGTTATATATGTTACATTAGAATATATACATGTATACTTTTTAGAAATATACATATTATACATACAATAGAATAGTACATGTATTTTTACCATGAAGAAAAAGTACAATAAAATATGTTATTTGTAGATTTTGAATGTTTACAATTATGTTTCATTATTACCAAGATGGGCTGACAAATCCTGGCACATTATCAATTTCAAGAAATGTTTGTGCTTTTTTCTTAGGTATAGACATGAGTGCTTCTCCTACTTGTCTGGAGCTCTCAATTTTGTTTCCCAAGGCTGGGCTGCTCCATAGCCCCTGCGGGGGTTCCCTGGCTAGAAGCAGGCCCTGTGGCAAACATCTTTCCTTTGTCGTAGCTCCTCCCCCATCACTCCACCTGCCGATCATAATGGCCCCAACCTCGCAGAGTTCTCATGAGAATGAAAAATAAATGTAAGACGCTCCAGTGCACCGTGAGTGGATTTTACATACTTGCTATTACAATTATAATTATTGTGATGTGTCTGTTTGGGAGATACTGAAGTCAGACCTTCTCCCTTGCACGAAATTAGGAGGTCTGGAGGAGTGTATGTCCAATAGCCAATCTTTCCGTTCCTAGGGGAACAATGTAATACCAGGGCATTGTTTTATCTAAACCCCAATTTCTGGGCAACAATAATGCTAAGATCTCCTAGAAACTCAGTCCTGCTCTGGACCCAAATCCAGTGTCTGTTTGGTCCCCAACGACTGGCCCTTTTACGCCTCACTTACCCTGGCCCCACAGTGTGCTGCAATCTCCTCAAAGGGTGCCTTCTGGAACTTTTCCACCACCTGTCGTCGCCGTTCACGCTCCTGCTCCTCGACAGCCACACTGTCCACTACAGCAGAGAGAGTGGCTCAGCCCTTTGGTCCTGCCCCACCGCCCATGGAGGGTGTGGTGCTTGCCCCCAGAAGGGCTAGACCTTTTGCTGATTCTGCCTGGGGTTCACCCCCCTCCCGTGTGTAGGGAAGATAGTACTTGCTTGTAGTACCTCTGAGTGCTAGTTACATAGACCCTCGAACTGGACTTTTAAAGTCCCAGATTGCTGCATTGCCACTAGGCCTCTGAAACAGAAGTTCCTGAAACAGGAAGTCCTCCAGGGGTAATTTGAAAAGGGACATCAACAATGGAAAAGCCAGAGAAACCACAAAGGCCAGCAGAGAACCCTTAGGCAGGGCAGTCTGAGGCCATTTAGTCCAAAGCTTATACATGGTCTCCAAGGCATCCAATATGAGTTAGCAATAAATAAAAAAAAAGGGTGTGTGTGTGTGTGTGTGTGTGTCAGATACGTTCATCACACTTCATTTAGGAAGGCAGAGCATTGTGCATACAAAGAGTATGATCAATGACAACAAAAATAAAAAAGGTTTGGCATGTGAAGGCATAATGTATCATTGTTTATCAGAAAAATTCTTATTTGGAATACTTCATTGCCCAATAACCTAGATAAATGAGGTAATAGCTCATTTTAATATCTGTTGCCAATAAATAGTACATGATTTGTTCTTAGTAACTTTTATTGGTCAACTTGTTCTTCTGTATCCCAATTCACCAAAAATAGTCCAAGTATTTATACAAAATTGCTTTTTACCCTAACTGGCTATAACCCTCAACTGATTATTTTTAAAGGCAGCTGTCAACAGAGAAGGGGTTGCCTGCCAGAGGATGCACCGGCAGCTCTCAGGAGAGCGGGACTTTTAACTGCAGCTTTGGGAGTTGTGATGAATTTAGAGGCAGCCATAGCCTCCTCTGTGCTGAACCCCACTTGGGAGGCAGCAGACCAGGCTGCATACACCTGTGTGCCTCCCCAGGGCCCCAGCCCAGCCCTCCCTGCCTCTGGCTTACCGATGGCCTTCTTCAGCGTCTCGTAGGTGATCTCCTCGGCAGGCACACGCTAAGGGGAAGGGACAGAAGTGCTCAGAAAGGAGGAGTTAGGGAGGAAGGGGAGCAGGCAGCCTCAGCAGCTCCCTTCACTTCTTAGAAGAATGTCTCATGGGCAGAAACTCCCCTCAGGACACCCACATTCTGACCACGATCACGGGGAGCTCTCTGGGCAGGCACAGGGCCGCCAGTTGGAGGAGGGCAGTGAGATGGAGGTGGGGAGGCTGATTCCCTGTCAGGGTCCTGAGTCTCTCCCCAAAGAACTCACTGTCCCCTCAAGCTCACTGTCCTTTTCCTGCTCCCCACCAGCTTGTCCCGTTAAGCCCCGTGGGAGGGAAATACTGTGTAATTAAAAAAAATTAACAACTTCAGAGAATATAACAGAAAATATTAGAAGCAAGAGGAGGTGGTTGGCAAATACAATCTCAAATATAAATTCCAAAAACTGAGTAACATTTTTGAAGAATTCTGATATTAAATTATCCGCTGAAGTAATCTGAGCATTTAACAACAGTGATTCATGCTGAGGTTGGTCCAAGGGCTTGGCTCACAGGATCTCAGTCCTCTGTAGAGACAGAGGGAGGTGGGAAATAATGCAACCCAAAGAAAGGTACTCCATGGATGTGCGGCCTTAGGCAAATGCTAAAAATAGTGAAGAAATTTGGACCAAATTCCAGGAATTCCCCACTAGCTCCAGGAGCTCCTATGAGACTTACTCATATTTTCTAACTTAAATATAATATTAAGTGAAAGAAGCAGACACAGGAAAGAATGACTTCACTGATACAAAGTTCAAGAAGTGACACAGGTCAAGGCTGGTGGATCCCTCTGGGGAGGGGGCACCGATGGGGGGCAATGACGAAGATGATATTCTATTCCCGGATCTAGGTGGGACAGCACTGATACTCCTTTTGTGAAAATTAATTGAGCTATACACTTTTTGATTATTTGGCCCTTAATAAGTCCTTTGAGGAGGAAAGGACAGAGATATAGACATGGGATAGGCAGGGTGACCCAGACATGGGGTCCCACATTAGCAAAGCCCTGCGGATAACTGTGGTGGCAGGGGGAGTCTGAGGGCAGGCCAGCCAGAGTAGGCTGGTGGATGGAAGCCAGAGAGGAAGGGGAAATACACTGAAACGTCAGAGCCAGCCCAAACTGCAACTGGCTCCGAACACTAGGCACTGGGTTTGGGGTTTGACCAAACTGACATTTATGGATCACCTGCCATGAGCCTGGCATTTAAGGCTACAGGGACCCACTGCAGGATTTCGTAGGGGTGCAGGTGGGGCATGGTGGGCTGGGAGCTCAAAGTGTGGTGTGGCAGAGGGACATGGGCTGGAGATGCTAGCATCCCTGCCTTAGCGACCACCTACCCTTGGGCTAAGCTGACTCTCCGAGAGGGGAAGGAAGCCATACTGCTGACCCAGGAGGCCGCTGGTGAGCAAGAGGCTCTGCACACAGGTAGCATTTATCCCTGTCCTGCATCTCTTCATTCAATTCCCGAGGGTCTCTTGCAGCTCGTGGGGGAATTCCCGTAACTGCGGGGGTCACCCTCACAAACAAGGATGCCTCACCCCATGCCTTCAACTCCCTCGCCTCTCCCTCCTGCCTGGCCTCCCCCCATTTCTTTCTCCTTTCTACTATGATTCCTTATTCTCCCTGATTTGTGGGTACATCTGCTTTATTTTCTGAGGTAGAAGAAATAATGACAGGGGAGACATCCTACATTAATTTGGACAGGAATGAGATTTTCACAGCCCTCAAGAAGAGACGGAAGGAAAAGGAAGACTTAAGCTGCAGCTTTCTCTTTAAAAAAGCACCTTTATTGATATAGCTGGATGAAGCACCATGAAAGCTATTCTCACCCTCATCTCTCCTGTTAGGCCTTTTAGTTTCCATTGTGGAGCCTGTCTGCCTCCATCCTGAATAGGGAATGACTACCAGCAAGATTTTCAAGACCCATGACACCTTCATGGGGCACACAGGTCATTTTTCCAGATGGAAACAGCTATGATAGATATGGTGAGAGTCAACAAGGAAACAGGGTATTTGAGAAAGTTACTTTCCATGCAACCTTAAATGTTTTATGCAGTTAACAGGGCCTGAAGCATGGAGTGTCTGACTACAAGGGAAGCAGGAGTAAGTCCCCTTCTCTGGGGACACTAGGCTTTGCCAGGACAGTGTATCTTGAACAGGACACTCACCTCCTCCTTCTCTGGGCTGTTCCTAGATTCTACCTCCACCTGCAGGGAAATGGTTTCTCCAATGCTCTTCCTCTTGGATAAGCGATCCTCATCTGGGAAAGGAGAAGCCCAGGAGCTAGTTCCGAGCCCTTGGAGAGCAAGTCAGGGTCACACCTCTAGTACCATCTCCCAACCGCTCTGTCCTGCCTGGTCCACAGTCCGCTGAGGGCTCCGTGCGCACTGAGGCTGCAGCTAGAATTGACAGGGCTGCGGGCCATCTCTGCCCATCTTAGGGTGGTGAGTTCTGCTCTGTAGGACTAAGATTCTGAAATCATTGATGAGCACAGAGAAGCTGCTTATGACCAGAAAGCATGTCTCAACTTGGATAAGCGTCACCTGCTAACAGCACTAAGCAGCTGCCATTTGGGCAGAATTTGCTTAGGCATGTTACTTTTATTATTTCCTGTAGCTCTCACACCAACCCTCTAAGGCAGGTAGTGTTCACATTGCTCTTTTACAGTCAAGGAAACAAAACTCAGAGTTGCCAGGATTTGTCTAAGATTTTTAAGGAAGTAAGTTGCAGAGAACTGGGTCTGTGATTCCACAGCTCATGTGTGTTCTTTTTAGCTCAGCAGGGCCTCTCCTATCCACAGGCCAGGCTTCCAGTTACTCCCAAGGGTCTTGCCTTGAGGAGGAGAGTGGGGAAATCAAGAGCACCTTCCCATAGATTTCCACTGTGTCTTTAGCTGCTGTGTGACACCAAGGTGTCAGTAAGTCCCTTACCCTCAGCCCTTACCTGGCCCAGAAAAGCTGGAAGCAGTCTTGGCAGACCTGGCACAGAGCGCTTACCTGTCAGCTGAGGGATGTAGGGCAGGCAGAGCCTGTCGGAATTGTAGCCACTGCCTCCCAGGACTTCACTGATCTTGCTCTGGCGGAAGAGCAGTTCAGTTACCACTCCATCAAGATTTTGGGACAACCTGGAAGACAAAGGAAGGAAGAGGCAAGTGAGAACGGTGGGTAAGTAGGCTGATTTCCTAATGACTCTCCTTATTAGGGAAGTAACTAACATTCATTATGCAAAATGACAAAGAAGCAAAAGGAAAAAAATCACCCACAATCCCACCTTCCAGAGAATCATCTTTACACTGTGCAGAACCCTCCGGTACACACATCACCTCACTCCCACATTTCTATTCTGGGATCTATTTTATTCACCTATTATATAGTGTATATTCACATTAACTATTCTTCCGAACACTGTGGATGGGCTACCAGTTGCCTATTGTATGGATGGGCCATAATTTATAAAACCATCCCCCACTGTTGGACATTTTATTTTTTCAGAATATCTTTTCATTGAGTTCTTCTGATGCTGAAGCGATGTTGACCCTTGGATAATGGCCTGGAGTGCCACTTGGATTGATGGCAACATCCTGTCAGGAGCAAATCCTCCAGGATGCATTTCCCACGGGTTTGGCCAAAGCTCCCAGAGGCTGAGTGACTCTCTATACTACAACATACTGGGATGGCTCAAGGTGAGCTTTACAGTCATGTGATGGGGTTGAACCTGCCCCAGGACTTCTGGGCCTTAGGCAGGGTCTGCTTTCCACCCTTGAGCCTGTAGAAGCTGATGCCCCTGGCCTCAGACCACCCACCTGCTTACTCAACTGCCTTGGGGATCCCTGAACAGGTCCCAGCTGTGCTCCTCACCTGGGTCTCTCCACAAACACATCCTCAGGCAGCATGCATGGAGCCTCTTTCTTCCTGGTCTCTATCACCTGCAGTTTGGGAGGAATCACAGAAGAGCTGGGTTCAGCAGGGAGCAGGAGCTTGGAACAGGCAAACGAAGGAGCTTGTCACCTTGCAGTGTTTCCTTCCTCCCTCCAGCTCAAATCCACAAACCCTCAGAGCAGGTCAGGAAGCCCAGGCAGACTGCTCAAGCTATCCCCCATGACACTCAAGCATCAAGTGTCCTCCAAAGCAGGGGACTTAGCTCCCAGGAGACTGCAGTTTATTGCTCCTGTGCACTATTCCTGCTTTCTTCTTAAACATGGAAGAGGAAGCATAAGTCACACGACTCCTCAACCCAAGGGCATTGCAAAAACATCCTAGTGGACAGTGACATGTTGAGCTTCCCTCAGTGTCCTTTGCAAATTTTTGATAAGAAAGATGAATGTTATTAAGCTGGTGAGAAGTGGGAGAACAGGTGGCATGTAGGCACATACAGGAGGGGGTAACCATGATGGGACTGGTTCTAGCGAGAGGATGTCTGGATATTGCCTTTCCTGCACTCGCTTATCAGCCCTGAGGCTGCGAGGGTTCTGCCTCCCTCAGGGTCTCTGGCAGTGATGCAGCTCCCACCTTCATGTCCCCATTCCAGTCCAGGCCAGTTGAGAACTGCGCTTTCTTGTTTTATTTTTGCTAGTGTATTTTAAAGTTAATCCTAGACATCATATGATTCTACCTATAAATACTTCAGGATGTTTTAAAATGTCTTTTTGTGGACAACCACGTACATTTCATTTATGGATTGGGTATTAGATAACACAAGGCATTAGCGACAATTTAATTAAGTGTTAATAGCATGGTAACTACGTAGGAAGGTGTCCATACTTTTTTAAGATATGAATACTGCTACAGGTGGAGTGAAACGACATGAGAGTTGATATGTGTTTTAAAATATTTCAGCAGAGGAAAAGAAAATGAGATAGATGAAGCCAATGTGGAAACGTCTTCATAACTGTTTAATCCATGTGATAGCTATACTGATGTTCACTATTCTACTCACACTGCTTTTGTGATATTTGAAAATATTCACAATAAAAACTATTTTAAAAAGCAGCTTTAGTCCCACATGACCTGAGGGGGGTGTATACATGTGCTTCTGGGATGGGGGGAAGCACAGAGGGGCAGAAAATCAGGGGTGGGAGGACAGGTAGCAGGTGAGGAAGGGGTCCAGCTTACTGCCTGTGCCTGACTCCACCTTGCTAGGTCATGTGATGCCTGAAAATGCCACCTCTAGTTCTTACATCAACCCTTCAATGCCCACGCAATTAATGAAAAGTTGTCCTAGGAAACTCTACATCGAGGGCCTCCTGAGTTCTCAGGGCCATGAGGACACTGACCTCATGGATGTGCTGGCAGAAGGCAGGCACCGTGGTGAGCTGGCTGATGAGGTTCAGGTAGGCCGCCCCCAGCGCATAGAGAGCGCAGCGGTTGTACGCAGGCAAGTTCTCTTCATTGACCTGGGCCACATCCTATGGTAACACAGAGGAGCCTTTGGAGTTTCTAATTGACAAATTACACTGGTGCCCCACCCTCACCCAACCTTCATCAGAGACAGCCTTCTTCTCTAGGCTAAGCCTTTTTCAGCATCTGCCCCCTAACTTTGTGGGAGACAGAAGTCATCCTCATTAAAGGTAAGTCAGTGGTCCCGCATAAATATTTGAGTGGAGAGGCAATGACCTCAGTTCCCCGCTTTGCAGTTCCAGCTTCAGTGATCAGTCAAGATCAAGCCCTCATCCCTAATCCCACCTCTAGGATGCTGTCTCCTTCAGCACAGGCCCGAGGAGATTCTTGGAGAACCAAACTGGCTTGCTAAGCTGGATTCATATGTTAAATTGGGAGAGTTGTGAATTATGTCAGGATTGGGACACAAAGGAATCTCATATTCTAGAATGAATGCAATTGTAGCAGCTGTTGGCTGAGCAGGATTTAGCACCATTGAGCAGGTGGCCTCAGACTGTCCACCACTGAATTCCCAGGGGTTTGTCACAGTTCAGGATACGAAGCCTGCCCAGGAGGACCCTGGAGACCTTTCAGACCTCTGAGATCTGAAAGACCCACCCCATTTCCATCACCGTTGGGAATACATTTCCACCCAGGCAGACCCTAAAAATCTAAAGTCCTATCTAATGGAACACTGGCAGCCTGGCAGTCACAAGGGAGGCTTGTTGAAACCCTAGATCCCCACGCTTGAGGACGGAACTGGGAATTTGTATTTTTAATAGGTGCTTAAAGCAATTCTGAAGCATAGCCAGGTTTGAGAAACAATCTGTAGACAAACAAGTTTGTTTAGGGACCACTCAGGGCTTATGAGCACCCCTTGGCGTCTCATTTAGATCATGTAAGAGGTTGGAAATAGTAGGGGTTAAGCCTTGTTTGTTCCCTGCGTCTCCTGAGGATGGGCTAAAGCCATGAATTAATAAGCATTTCAGTTTCCCCAAATGGGACCATGGTTTGTGGTCTTCCAAGGCCATAATATTCCTGGGCTCCAAAATATTTGTTAGGCCGTTGCTATTCGGCACTCTCAGTGCTTGGCCAAAACAGGTTCCCTCCCCAGTCCCAGCCAGTACATGCTGCCTGTATGAGGCCCCACCTGAACAGCCAGCACCAGGCGGATGAGGTCTACCACTACCTCCTCGTTGGCCAGCTCGATGCTGATGAGCGCCAGCAAGCTGTAGAGAGCCTCGTAGTGCTTCTGTATGTTGGTTTCCTCCTTACAGCTCAGGTAGATGTGTCTGTAGAGCTGCTGGGAGTGCTGGAGATGGGGATGGGGTGAGAGCAGGGTGAGGATAGGAGGGGCAGGAGAATGGGAAGACCATCTGAAGGGGGTGGAGAGTTATGCATATGCCCCTCTACCCTCAGGGAGGGGACCCTTTAAAGCAGACCCCAATAGAAGCCAGCACTTGCAGGAGTGCTGTTCAGGGAAGGGTGGGCCCAAGAAGCCAGCAACAAAAGGTGTCACCCAAGTTCGGTTTTAGGACCAGAACACAGTTAGTGGCCCTGGACTGGCTCATAGGGCGTGGTCCCCACTTTGGCCTTGACAGTGAGTACGACCCTGGGGGCCTGAACCCCTGGAGGGGTTGGCTGGTCGTCCTAAGTATACTCAAGGAAGGAGAAGGTAAGCCCAGGGGGACAGGGGTCAGCAGTGACTTGGGAACCAGGAAACCGGGGTCCACGGGGCCCGGTCCACTGGGGCTCACTGAATCATGAGGTCACACTTGCTAACCTTCTTCATGAAGACAGTATCCTGTCGGGAGCACTTGTCCACTTTCAGCTTCAGCACAGAGATGTCACCAAGGGTACTGGGAGAGGACACGAGGGGCCATTTTAACCCTTGTGTGAGGCCAGTCAGAGCTCACCTGGTATTACTTGGCTCTATCAACGTCACTAGTTGTACCAAAGCTTCCAGGCCTCCTCCAGCCCTGGTTCTGAGCCAAATCTCCACTTTCTCCCAAATTCTCAAGCCCTATGTCCTGCTTACATAGGCCCTTTTTCTTAAATACTGGTCCAGATTATTCTCTTTCTCCCTTTCTTCTCCCCAATACCTCCCCCACCACCCAGTCTCTACTAATAACCCTGCAACCCCTACTTTGTTCCTCCCTGAAAACTTCCTTTAGTACCTGCTCTTTATCTTCCACATCTCCAATCCATCCCCTGCTCCCCCGGGCAGAAAGTGCCCTTCTAGTCTCTGCTCCCATCACAGGACCCCAGGGTTAGTGTCCGTGATCAGCTCCCTGGTGGCTCTCACTGAAAATCTGAATTGCCCTCTCACCTGGATGTGAGACCTTATGAGGAGTTTCCTCCCCCATTCCACACCAGCTGGAGGGGAGACCCCAAGTTCACCTGATAGTAGAGAACTTATGGCGGTTGCCATGACGATCAATGAAACTGATGAGAATCTCTAGAACGAAGAGGCGGATGTCTGCGTCCTCCATGAGGGCGGTGGAGAGAAGGCGGTCAAGGAAGTTGCTGGGCAGGGCTGACATCATGTTGTTGCACTGGAAACCTGTGGACACCTGCCAGGGGGCCCAGGACAGCTGTGCTTAGGAACGCTGGCCCACTCAGGTGCAGTGAGGGGATGGAGCAGCAGTTGACAGAAGCTGCATCTAAAGCCACCATCCTCCCTAGACATCACCCAGCCCAGATACCCCCGTCTTCCATGCTAGGCCCTGGGTGCCTCAAGGCAACTTTCTTGAACATGCCAACATCCACATAGACAACCTGCTCAGTGCAGCTCAGCTCAGCAGACTTGGGGGTGGACTGGAACAGTGTGCAGGGACATTAAGTTGTTAAACACAAGCAAGGGGTGAGCACTAGAGGGGGCGGGAGCCAGGGAGCCTCTGCACCTAATGCTTCAGCCCATCAGGGCACAACTGATGAACGCTCACCAAGGAAATAACACTTCATTAAGAGTGTGGACAGTCACAGAGAAACGGAGAGGACTTAAGCTGGGCTGAGGAATCAGAACCCACGCACACGGCAGTAAGCAAAGAGCACGCACAGCATTTGGTTACACCTCTTCTAGCACAGCCGTAACGGGTGTCTTCTGATTTAAGCCAGTGGGCATAAACAGACACATCAAATATGAAGTTGTCAAAGCATTCAAAAGCAACAAGACATATTTAAGTTAGTCCATCTTGCCAAACAATGCCTTTGATGATTCATCAGGCCCTTGAGGATCGGGCAAAGCCTGGTGGCATAAGCAACAATGTCCACTGAAGGGGGATGTATCTGATTGGGCCCCAAACTGTCACCTTGGTAAGATACCAGCTACATATTAATGGGTAGAAACTCAGCAAAGAAATAGCAGGAGTTCAAGACCAAGCAGGTAACCAGAGGTGGGCAGTATCAGCATGAAAAGCCTTTATAAAAATGAGCGGCATGAAAGGCTTGGGCTGGGGACAGGGAAGGGAAGGCAGGAGCAGAGTGAGGGCTGTACAGACAGGCCTGGTGAGGTCAGAGACGGGCTGAGGACTGCAGGGAGAAAGGGGTCTGGGGATCTTCCAACTTCTGTCTCAGGAGTGTGAAATCTGGATACACATCAGTTGGAAACTGACACCTACTCTTTTTTTTTTTGGTATCATTAATCTACAATTACAGAAAGAACATTATGTTTACTAGGTTTCCCCCTTCACCAAGTCCCCACTACATACCCCTTCACAGTCACTGTCCATCTGCATAGTAAGATGCTATAAAATCACTACTTGTCTTCTGTGTTGCACAGCCC